GACCGAGTTGGGGCGTCAATCAACAGCCTTTCTATACACGGCACTTGACGTGTCGGACTAGTCTCAGGCTCGAGTCACCCGTGCAACAGGAGCAGCATGGAGACCTAGTCGGGACGCACGCTTTTCATTTGCGTGGAAGGTGGCAGTAGGGGGCTTGCGGTGGGTGATGTTGATGTGCGGTGGTGAGATGGTGGTGAGGGAGGATGTGATGATGTGGTGCAGCCGGTGGTTGTCTACCGCAGGTTTTCGTGGATGCACATGTGGCCGAATATACCCATACGGTGCATGAATGTGGGGGGGCAGAGTGGACAGTGGAGACGAATGCGGTGGGTGTAGGTGGGTGCATCAGGCACTGGTTCGCCAGTCTCTGTGCCATGGATTCGAAAGTGGCCGACCAGGCCTATGGCGTAGGCGACACTCGCGTCTCGTCACCCTGCCCTGGGGCGACCGCTCCAGAAGAAGATGTAGCCGGCACCCACCTCCTCCAGTTGGTTTTGTTCGGAGAAGCGGGTCTCGCTGAGTGCGACTATGTCCACCTTATAGCGCGCCAGTTCCCGAGCCCATAACGCCGTCCGTTGTTCCGGCCGGTTGCTCCTCGGATTGTCTAAAAGGGAACGGGCATTTCAGGCTGCCAGAGGTAGAGAACTCTCCTTGCCAGTCTGGCGGCGAGTTGGGCGGCGAGAAGGAGGGGGAGAAAAGGGTGAAGAAGGGGAAGAAGAAGAAAAAGAAGAAGAAGAAGAAGAAGAAGAAGAAGGAAAGAAGAAAAGAATACGGAGAGATAGAGGAAGACGAGGCAGGATGAGGAAGAGAGAGAGTGCGTTCTTGTTTCGATTTTTGGTTGTTTCGACCGTGATTTTAGCGTCTGCGACCACGGTCAGCCTGCTGACGACGTGGTTCCCCAGAGATCTTTCGGCCACCTCAAAGGCAGTCAGTGCCTCCCTGAACAGGGCTGCCCTGTTCTGCTGGAGCGGCCGAACTATACTATGGGCCACGACTTTTGTTGCAGTGGAAGCACGACCTGAACTTGCCAAAAGCTTACGACATCGCCGTAAGCCCGCGGTCTCCTGCGGTGCACCAGACGAGGCCTCGTCTCGACGTTGTCGATGCTGACCAACGACGTACCAGACGGAGCCTCATCTCTACGATACCGATGCGAAGCTCCAACCGGCTGATCAGTGGCGGACCAGACGGCGCCTCATCACGACGGTGTCGATTCCGAGTTCCATCCGCACAACCGCCAGCGCCCATGCTCGGGGCACAACGCGCACAAGGAGTACCCGCCCTCACCTGGCTTAGCCCGCCGGTCGAGGTGGTTCCGGGGGGTGTGCCTGCTGGGCAGAGCCCAGCTACGTGGAGCTACAGGTGAGAGTTGGGTGCCAGCAAGTGGACGCCAGGCGTAGTCTGCACCCGCAAGCAAATGAGTGACCACTACGACCATCACGTGAACCCACCGCTGGACACCCCTACACCCCACATACATACGCACCTTGGAAACCCTTTAGAAATATCCGCGGTTGCAACTGAAGCTGTCCGATTTACCAGTCGTATCATTCATTTCAAATATAACCCCTTACAGTTGCCCTAGATATCCAACTACGGCGCGCCCTCAACTATTACCACCGACCGAAGCCGTCGGTTTTAATTTAGACTTTTAACAGTCCTACTGGTCTCATCGGATTATCTCACATATGCATGACAACTATTCATTCCCCATTCAACGGTCCAGTCGAGGGTTCCCATCGCCAACTCAAAGCTTTACTCCGAGTCTACGACAATTTCACTCACTGGAGTTAGTATTTGACCTTCGTCATGCCCAGTATCGTTACATCGCTCAAACTTAACTTACAATGTGTGTGTGAGTGCTTTATGAGCAGTGTCTATCAGTCGACGACTGTTTGGTTACCTAGCCCCGAAGGGTGACGGTCCAGGCAAATCCAGGTTCACATGTCACCCCTCATGGCTTTAAGGTCTGAAAACGCCTGCTATGCCAGGATCAGTAGACGACGGTCCTCACAGCCTGGAATGAGCTGGAATTTTGTGACACCTGGTGCCCTGCCAGTAGGTGCGCTTTCGCTTCCGCTGGGTCCACAGGCCGCGGGCATGGTCGCCCAGACATCCCCGTTTTTTGTGTTGTTGTTGTTGTTGTTGGTTAAAATCCTGGTCATTTGTTGTGTGGACCAGGGGATGTGGAGTGGAGCCCTAAGGCGCCGTCTCGGCCGCGCCATCCACCTCCGCCCACACCCACCTCCGGTCTTCTTGACTCTGCCTTGACACCGGGCCCAAGGGGGAGAGGGGGGAGTGCGGTAGATGCAGCGCAAGTCCACATTTACTGCAAACTAAATTAAGCACACGTCACTATGCCTGCTCCACCTCGCTGTGGAGCATACGATAGACATCGTTGGCAACGGCGATCAAACTGTCACTATTTCGTCAACTGACCCAAACTCACTTACCTGCTCTATTGCGTTTGTGTTCCTCAACAACGTTCGCAATCCACTACAATCGTCCTATGATAGGCCCTTCTGCGCCTTATCGTCTACCGTTAAGCGTTTCGCAGCTTTGCCTGACGATCACACTGAGGTTGTTTCATTCGACTGCCTGAAGATGGCTTATACCAGTTCTCCTTCGGCCGCCCTAACAGGCTTGCCGCCTAAATCCGCCACGGTGTCTTCTGAGATTTCCCCCCCCCCTCAACCCCTGATACGCAGTGGCCGTCGTGTCTGTTTCCCCGATCGCGGTCAGTTTGTAGATTACGGCTAACACTTGTCACTCACACCCATTCGAACTCCGTTCTCCTGGCCGGAGTGTATTTTAATGGCCCAGGGCACTTTGTTTTAGTGTGTTAAAAATTACTTGTTTGCTTTTCGCAATTTTAATTCTCGGTCCAACTCAGGCCGCCACCACGCGACTCACTTGTCCCCTCTCATTTGACTGACGTCAGTAGTCCGAGGATATTAATTCTGCTCGTCGGAAAATATGCTTGCGTGTACTCTACGTATTCCTCAGAGTTATTCCGATGACTGCATTGTTAATTTTGAAAAAACACTGATCAGGAAGGATTACTTGGTTAAATTGCGATTTTGGGGCATTCTATCCAGCATTGCTCGCGTAAAGACTAAGCGCTTTGACTGTTATCTCTTTTTTCGCCAATAGTATGACTCATTTAGATTCGGCCAGATTTTCGAGTGCTCTGATTTATGCTAGAGGGAATGCTTAAACTCATTAACACAAAACTCGATTGCATCACTTTTACCACATGTGTTCGTTTAAAAGCATCAGTATGTTAGTCAATGTATGCCTTATTTTCGTCCTCTTCTCTTAGCTCGCCTAATAGAGGCAATGTAACTTCTCACAGATTAGTGTGATCTTATCTTCCTTTGCGTGCGCACCGGGGTATCCAGGGTTAACCTACTTACTTGGTCAACAGACCGTTTTTGCATTCTGGCGTATTAAGCAACTCCGACAGATATGTAAATGCATTTTTACCATTATTCTTCTAAAGGCCCAGAGGAAGCTCTCGTTCACAGCCTCCAGACTGGATTATGTCCCATGAAATATTAGACTATTTCCTAGGGCTGGCTTCTGCTCGACTATACTGTCCTTGTAATTGTTCAGATCCAGCCGAACGCGTACTCGAACCCCTCATACAGGAACAAAAGCTGGTTGTGCGACGGATTATCACAAGTGGTTGTCCACACACCCAAAACGGGTCAGGAGTTTAACTCCGCAGCCGCCAGGATAATTGCCCATGCCGGAAGTAATTTAAGCGGAAAATTGATTGAAGCCTGATCTACGGACAATAACCCGGCCAATCTATAGATTGAGCTGGCGCCCAAACACAAAGCCCTGCGCCGCCTCCCCAAAATTCGTAATATTGGTCGCTGAGTGGATAGTGATGTTAATTTATTTATTGCTGGGTTACCACTGAAGATGGACTCATGTATGAGTTCGACAGCGTAGGAAAACAAAGGACGTGTAGGGGTACAAGGTTGTGAGTCCATATGACGGTCGCAGTAGGTCATTCGCTTGCTTGCAGGTGTAGACTACACCTAGCATCCATTTGCTGGCACCTTAACTCTCACATGTGGCTCCCCGAAGATAGGTTCTGCCTAGAGGCCACACACCGGCAATCGCCTCGATCACCGGGCTGAACAAGGTGAAGGTATCCGTGTGTGCATTCCCGCACACGAGTAGCTCTACTCCGCTGGCCGCATGGATCACCGCATCGGCCTCTCGGAGATTAGGCTCCACCTGGAACACCGTAGGAGGCCACAAGGTATGCGAACGTTGCACCGCTGCCTTTGCTTTCGCTTGTTCTTGTCTGCTTGCTTTCTGTCTGCTTGTTTGTGTTTGGCCTTGTTTAAAACTGAATGCCGTTCTGCTGAATTTCAGCTGTTGTCTTTGCTTTTTGCTATTCATGCCCGCGTGCTTTTTTGTCTGTTCGTTCGTGTCGGTCCTTACTGTGAGCTAAACACCATTCTGTTGAATCTGTCTGCACACCGTTCATATTCCAGTAGAAAACTATCTTAGAGAGGGACGGGAAAGCTCTGCATCCCGCCTCTTTACACTTTTCCACATTGCCCTCCCTCCCCCCCTGCAAGCCCTACGGCGATGTCGTAGGCAGGCCCAGGTTAACTCGGGTCGTTCCCCCACCAAACAAATGGCGTGGCCAATAGTGGAGTTCGGCAGCCGTCTGGGACAACCGGGCAGCCCTATTTAAGGAAAGCACTGCTCACCCCCGCGAGGGAGAAGGGGCAAGAAAACGTGCCCTAAACAAATGTAGGGGATCTACGCCGTCTTCAGGCTGACCGTAGCCTCAGACGCAAAACTCACGGTCGAAACAACCAAATCCGAAACAACGCTAGCTCTCTTCCCCCTCCTCCTCCCGCCACCCCACTGGCCTGACTGGTAGGGTGAGTCCGCTCACTCTGGCAGCTTGGAATGTTCGTTACCTTTCTGACAATCCGAAGAGCAACCGACCGGAGCAGAGAACGGCGCTAATGGCTCGGGATCTGGCGCGCTACGAGGTAGACATCCCTGCACTCAGTGACATTCGGTTCTCCGAACAATGCCAACTGGAGGAGGTGTGTTCCGGTCACCCCAGGGCAGAGCGACGGGATGCGGGCGTTGCCTTTACCGCCTGGAACGATATCGTGGGAAGACTGCCCCGTCTGCTACACGGTATCAACGATCACTTGCCTCTACAGGGAATAAAATCCGCCATCATCGTCAGCGTCTACGCCCCCACCCCCCACCCCCGATGAGCAGCCCTCATACTGCAAAAAACAAATTCTACGAGGGTCTGCACGCCCGCCTGACGACAGCGGCGAAGGTCGATAGATTAGTTGGCCTTAGCGACTTTAACGCTCGCGTCAGTACAGACCATGCTGTCTGGAGAGGAGTTCTGGGTCCCCATGGTCTCCATGGTTTTAACGACAATGGCCTGCTCCTCCTACGAACCTGTGCAGAACACCGGTTCATCCTAACCAACACCTTCTTCCGTCTTCCGATACGAGAGAAGGCCACCTGGATGCACTCTCAGTCACAACAATGGCACTTGCTGGACTATGTCCTCGTCCGGAGGCGAGACCAGCGGGACGTGCTGCTGACAAAGGCGATCCCGGCTGCCGACTGGGGGACCGATCATTTCATCTCGTCATCTCGGAGATGCGGATTCGTCGACAACCTCGCAGGAGACCTCAAGTTAAGCGACCCCCAAGCAAGCTGAATACTTATTTGTTGTTTTTGACTGCTAGCCATCTTCATTTCAGCAACGAGCTAGCTCGACAGCTAGCTAACCTACCAGTCGCCGTCCGCCGCCATCGAGGAGAACGCCTCCGTGGAGAGCCGAATGTGTCGACTGCGGAACACAGTCCAGTCGACGGCCCCGGCTGTCCTCGGTCGCACACGTCGTCAACATCAGGACTGATTTGATGACGACGACGCCGCCATCAGCAACCTGCTCGTCGAGAAGAACCGTCTTCACAAAGCCCACCGACGACAATAAAGCAGCCTTATATTGTAGTAGCAGCCTTGTGCAACAGCGGCTGCAGGAGATGCAGGACGGTGGGACGGCTCGAAAAGTCGATGAGATTCGATGGTACGCGAACCGGAACGAACGGAAGAATATCTTCTCCGCGATCACGGCTGTTTACAGCCCCACAACCAAAGCAGCTGCACCTTTTCTCAGCGACGAAGGAAGTACCCTGATCACCGGGAAGACACACATCCTACAGCGTTGAGCCGAGAACTTCACAGGTATCGCCAAACGTGCCTCCATCCTCTCCGACGCCGCCATCGCCCGTGTGCCTCAGGTGGAGACCAACTCCGACCTCGATCTCCCGCCCTGTCTCCGCGAAGCCATCATGGCAATGTAGCAACTCTCCGGCAGGAGGGCGCCCCGATCAGAAGAGATCCATGTTGAAATCGACAAGCACGGTGTCCCAAATCGTGGATCATGTGACGGCGCTCTTCCAGGAGATATGGCTTCAAGAAAGAGTCCCGCAGGATTTCAAGGACGCCACAATCGTGCACTTCTACAAGCGGAAAGGGAACCGCCAAATCTGCGGTAACCATCGAGGCATTTCCGTAGTGAACATCGCCGGGAAAATTTTAGCTCGCATCCTTCTCCACCGGCCTGGGCAATTATCTGGAACAAGGTCTCCTGCCGGAAAGGCAGTGCGGCCTCCGCCGTCATCGTAGGACCGCCGACACGATCTTCGTCGTCCGCCAACTGCTGGAAAAGTGCCAGGAGATGCGCATCAACTCCTATTCTACCTTCGTGGATCTGATGAAAGCTTTCGACATGTTGAATCGCGAAGAACTGTGGAAAATCATGCAGAAATTCGGCTGTCCGGGACAATTCACTCATGTGGCGCGTCAGCTCCACGATGGCATGATGGCGCGAGTCACAGTCAATGGAACTGTCTCAGAGGCATTAGCATTGACCAACGGAGTGAAGCAGGGTTGCGTCCTCGCTCCTATCCTCTTCAGTCTCGTGCACCCTGTCATGCAAATGGACGCCTACTGTGACGAACGCCTCGTGATCCGCGTGACCTACAGGATAGACGACCGCCTCCTGAATCGGTGGCGGATGCACTTCCAGTCGCTTGTATCCACAACCACCGTCCACGAACTTCTGTTCGCCAATGACTACGCCCTCAATTCAACTAATGAAGGCGACATGCAAAGAAGCATGGACCTATTCGCGCCGCCTGCTACAACTTCGTCTGGTCATCAACACGGAGAAGACGGTGGTCATCTATCAACCGCCACCCGACGCTGCCTACGTTGCGCCGTAAATCAGCGTGAACTGCACTCAACTGCATGTGGTAGACAACTTCACGTATCTGGACAACATCCTCACCCTAACCACAAGACCGATGATTAAGTGTTCCGTCGGATTTCCACGGCCAGTCAAGCGTTCGGTTGTCTAAAAAACACAGTTTGGAATCGTCATGGTCTTCAATTCAGCACGAAACTGAGGAGGTACAGATCCGTCATCCTACCGACGTTGCTGTATGAAGCAGAGATCGGGACGGTGTACATGCAACAGGCACGCAAACTCAACCTCTCCCACCACAGCTGTTTTCGTCGAATACTGAAGCTGAGGTAGCAGGACCGGATCCCAGACACGAACGTACTGAAGCGGACGGGAATCCTCAGCATCTACGCTATGCTGGGACAATTATTACTACGCTGGAGCGCCACCTCGTACGGATGGACGACGAGAGAGTACCCAAACGACACTCCAATGGAGATGTCGTGACAGGTTCACGCCGAAAAGAAGGTCAAGTCAGGCGTTACAAAGATACTCTAAAGACCCCCCTGAAGTGCCTACAGATTAACCCGGCAAACTGGGAAGACCTCGTCCGAGACCGACCTACGTGGAGGAGAACAGTAAAGGCGGGCGCGGCAATCTTCGAAGACAACCGCACCGCCGCCACCAACGCCAAACGCGAGACACGCAAATCTCAACTGCCGCCGCTGCCTCCGCCGCCACCTCACAACGTCAACGCCCAACCGCCTCCAACGTGTCCACGATGTCAACGGACGTTCCGGGCGCCGACTGTAGTTGTTGGACACCTCCGGACCAACTGTATCACTCGGACTGCACCAACCATCTTATCTCCACCCACATCCCCGTCGCCTCCAACGTCGTCAACAAACGTTGATCGCCCTCCCCGACCACCATTACCACCCTCCTCCTCCTCCTCCCCCTCCTCCTCCTCCTCCTCCTCCTCCTCCTCCAAGGCCTCAAGGTCTGCCTCTGTGGCGTCTGCCAGACCCATCAACACTGCGCACAATCCTGACACACCAAAATACACTGTCACCGCCTCCCTCAACACCAGTGATATGGAACTAATCTATGTCTGTCCTCATTGCAATAGCACCTTCGCCTCACACATCGGTCTCGTCGGTCATTTGCAAATCCATCGCACAGCGACTGGCGAACCAGTGCCTAGAGCACCAACCTACATCCGCCGCATCCGCCTCCACTGTCCACATTGCACTCACACATTTTTTCACTGCAGGGTCTATTAGGCCACATGCGCGTCCACGAAAACCTGCGGTAGACAAACGCCGGCTAAGCCACACCGTCACATCCTCCCTCACTTACATTCAACCGCACACCAACATCACCCACCGCAAGCTTCCAACTGCCACCTCCCACGCAAGTGGGAGGTGTGCGTCTCTGCTCCTTCTCCATGCGGCTCCCCAGCTGCATGTGTGATCGGAGTCCGAGACGAAGACGGTGCGTCAATCATCGTGACCCAAAAGGCAGCCGACTGAAGCCTTAACTCAGTCCACGCAATTTGCCCAGTTGTGTGTTTTGTGTGTAGTGGCGGACTGATGGACTGAGAGCCAGGCTGTCGCGGCCCCTTCTCAAGCGATCTGTGACACTCTCTTGCATCTGAGGACAACGAACCCGTAGCTCAGTGGTTAGAGGCGTTTGACTTCTAATTAACAGGTCACGGGATCAAGTCCCAGGTGTTCCACACTTCGGGTTTGGGGATGGCTGGCTGACGACGGCTAATAAGCCAGAAATGGTCATTCCAGTCTCCCTTGTCTTTGTCGGTAATAATATTCTGCCTATATCATGCGCCGCTGTGCTGCTGATGGTTGGGCTCGAGAGAAAGAGAGCCCGTAAGGCATAACGGGACGAGTGCGTTCCGTAAGAACGATCGGTGAACGCCCTCTACCAGTGTTTGTGCTTGTTTTTATGCTTTATGCCTCTCAGTCAACGACTGTTTAGTTACCCAACCTTGATGTGTGACGGTCCAGGATAAATGCAAGGCCTCCTGTCGCCCTTCTAGGCCAAAAAGTCTGAAAGCGTGTGCTATGCCAATAGCAGCAAACCATGGCCCTGGCAGCCTGATATGCGCTGGCAGTGCCCTGACACCTGGGTCCCTTCCGGTACATGCGCTTGCACTCCCTCTAGGTATACAGGTGGTGGCATGGCTGCCTAGTCATCCTCGTCCTTTTGACTCCTGTTGGGGTGTTTTTGTTGTTGTTGTTGGTGAAAAATCTTGGTCAAGTTTGTGTTGTGGACCATGGGGTGTGGTGACACGCCTAGGTGCGAGTCCGACCGTGCCAGCTACCTGTGCCCTCCCCCGCACCCCGTTTTTTGACTCTGTCTTGACACCGGGTCCAGGTGGGGAGTGTGAGAAGAGAGGGTGCGGTAGGTACTTCGCAAGTCTACTACCATTATAAACTAATCCACGCGTAAGTCACCGCGCCTGCCGTACCTTTCTGTGTAGAACACGGTGGACATCGTCGGAATCGACGGTCGAACTGTCAGGAAAATAAACAATTGACTCTGAGGCTCGACCATTCTCCTCCTCCCTTCCTCATTCCACTACATTCCCAATAGACTTTGTCGGCACGTACTTTCTTGCGCGTTTAGCTGATTGTGCGCTGATGGATGATAAACTTCATGGAGCCAAAAGTCTAGGACTTGGAATATGACGTCTGGCAATACCACAGTTACTACATCTAGCATTTCGTTAAATCCGACCTTATCTGTAGCCAGGTTTACCATAAGTCTGAGCCTTTGCTTTAGAATTGAACAATAGAAGGTTAGACATGAATTTTGATATTCAGAACTATGTTTTTGTCATACTGAACAATGTCATACTGGATTCTCTTTACACATAAAACCTATTGAAGTCTGAGGGTGCTGTAAGCTTTACCTAACTCTCCGTTTCTCTGTATAGAATTTCCCAACCGTGTTATTGTTATTTTACAGACGTGTTTCTATTCCTATACCATTTTAAACGGTTGTAGTCAGCAACGCAAACGTTTAACGGTTGCAGGTAACACTTTAGAAGGTAGAGCAAATAGCTAAGAGTTGGTTAACCTGACAAAGTCAGGATCAAACCGCAGTCACAGAGGCAAAACTCAAAGCCTGTCTTCGGAACCTGAACGGCCAAGGTTTCCTTTGTTATCGGAAACTCGAACTGGAATCTATAGCCAAGAGTGACAGCGAAATCTGAGGGCGATATTTTTGATAGGTCCACATCGGTCAGTGAACAGCACTGTTGTTAGGGCACGAACAGCTGCGACATTGCGTTACCTGGAGGCGGCCTATATAGGGCGGATGAAAACAGATCTCTGTAAACAGCTAGAACATGGGGTCAGCCTAACATTGCCATCTAAACTCCAGCTCCACGATTTCGCATTAACCGTTCTGTTTGCTCGTTAACGTTTTTCCAGCTGTTCTTTCCATATTGTGTTTAACTTACTTGTTTTATTGATTAGCTGGCATTGCCCAAAACCATGACCTTGCTATCAAAATATTGATTTTCTGCAGGAATTCAAACTGCTGTATCCTTCTCACTCGTTATTTATGTTATGAAGCGACAGGACGCAACTGATGAGTCGTCGCGGAATTTGTTGGTACCAATAAATCCTGCCTTGCATGCTTGTTTCAGCGTCGTATCAGGGAAAATGCTTCAAATATTCATTTTAATTCAGAATATTAGCTCATACTTGTTGAAAATATAATTAATGAGCGTTAGAGCAGTTAATAATCTCTAGCAACCTGATCTCCAATCATTTTATGCCAACATGGACAGCTCAAGTGGGCAAATGAACAAACTCTCAAAATCGGGAATATATGGTGATGAGGAAAAAAATTTCCTAAGAATGTGGATTGCTCTTTAAGCTATGACTTTGTAATTAAACACGAATGGTTCATTTCTGTTAGTGTGAGGAAATTAACCTCGGTCGAGCCCCCAACTTCTGGGTTTCGTATTTAACTCCACGCCCTAAATATCACTGAAGTCCCGCAGGTCGAGTAGGACGAATGCGAGGACACAAGCTTGGAGGCCTTGTGACCCGAAGTGTTGTCCTCACCACTGAAACAGGGAATATCTTTAATCTCACATTTGCGAGTATAACTCCTTGGCCTGGCAGCATAACTTGCCGTGGAGTGACCAACCAGCAAGTTAAATCTCTGCCCAATAGTCACCTGCAGACCAGCAGTGCGGTTCACTGACTAATGCAGACTTATTATAACCACCGCCCTCTGATTTCGCTGTCATTCATGGCGATAAATTCCAGTTCGAGTTTTTCTTACCTAAGGAAACCTTGGCCGTTCAGTTCCTGAAGACATGTTTTGAGTTGTGCGTCTGTGACTGGGGTCTGTTCCGTATTGTTCCCCTCATTTCTGGTCGTAGTCTCATCAGCCAGGTTTGGTCTTCAATCCCGTGTTTGCAAAATGCATTTACTAAGGTCTGCAAGTTTCCCTGACCCAGATTAAGCCCTCCTTGTTCGTACCCACATCCTGTCACGTCGCGTAACAGCCAAGAGACGCATTAACATTACTTACGGGCAGATTCCCATCTCTTTCTCCTCTCTTTCCCTGTTCCCTGTAAGTGACATGTCTAAACTCCCTTAACCCTCTCGCCATGACTACCGTTCACTGAATGCTATCAATTTTGCTGCTCTGCCGCAAGTTGCCAATAGTATTGTACAGGCCTGTCGAGGAATACCCAAAAACGTATGTTTGCCGAACTTAACTTCTCCTAGGCTTGCATGGCTGTCATTGCAGACACTTCAAATCCACAATAGCCGGAAACTCCAATATTAACTCATAGCGAGAGGTTCCTGGATAATTGATTAAAGGAATCGGCTATATTTTCCAAACTACGGAGACTCCTGTTGGATTCTGACACACACTCAAGAAACAAAGTTGGATAATTTCAGACACTGTGTATTCCAGGAGAGGTAAGTACTAGCCTGCCTTTCTTAAGGTAAGCAACTAAAAACGCATCCTTATCAAAATTGGGTAATATGTGGTTATGCAGCCCAACCTGATAGACACAGTACCGTTAGAGTTGGGGTTAAGGGTTAGGGCTAGGGGTTATGGTTAGAGGTTAGGGTTAGGGGTAGGAGTTAGGGTTAGGAGTTAGAGTTAGGGGTTAGGGTAACTATTTCCCAACAACTCAAATTACAACTGCGCCTTTTTAATAGTTTTTTTTATGCAACTACTTGACCTCGTCGCCTGTGCGTTCACCGCGCCCCACCTGTAAAAACCCCTATTACCACCGCTCCCGTATTACAGGTGGCTAGGGTTTGTTTACAACCGGTGGGGCGACATAGCCACATCTGACCCGAGATTTCGTTAGACTATCGTGTTCGTGTTCCCACTGAAAGTAACGAAATCTACCTCAGATCTCGACACTTGTAAAAGGATATATCCATGTATATATCCAAGTATAAGATTCTTTAAGGCGGTGCTGCAGGAAAAAGGCAGAGCAATATGGCCAGAGTTAAAAGAAATACTGATAATATCCTGTCGGATGTAGCTTCCTGGTTGTCCTTACATATGAGATAACACAGAGGATTGAGCAGTCCGGTTAGGCGAACAAGGACCACCAAAACCATACATAAATCTGTTTCAAAAACGCACACGGAGACAGAGAACACTGAAATATCTCCCATAACTAACCGTCGCAAATTCCCCATTCCGAAGTTGGCCTGCTAGGGTTGTGGGATAAAATTAACGAAGTCAGCGGTATTTCGGTCAAAGGGGGTCTTATTTGCACTCCTTCACTCCACTAAGCGAGCACTTTTTAAAGACATGGGATAAAACCTCGTGGTCCGAGCCAAAAAGAAAGAAAATAATGATAAATCCTTCGGTTCCGGGGCATCTGATGTGCCCCAGCCAACCCGTGGACGTTATGAAAGCCATTCGAATAGTCTGCCGTATGCCATAAAATTTGAAGAAGGTAGTCCCGACGACATCTCTTCTGGGCGGCGGTGGCAGTCTCAGTCGACTTTCTCAATGAAAGTTTTTTGCGCAGACAAACAACTAGTTAATTGTAAACTTCTATTCGGACCCGAGCAGGAGAACCTGTATAAGTACCCATCCACAACGGCGTGTCCGGCTCTACGCTTCTTTCTCTATTCCACTTTCCACAAACTAGACACGAGGAGCTAGCTCCTCAGTGGGGATACCCAAGAAAAGATTAAGATTAAATGTACTTGGTTGAGCTAAAAAAAACTGTTTAATGGCTTTAATTCATCTACGTTTTTGA